CAGGCAATACATTCATACACATAAAATAAAAAATAATAAAATATTGAAAAAAATAAAAAGACAAGAAAAAAACCTTATTGAAAAAAAGTCACTGATTTCGAAAATCATAACTGGGAAATACATCAACTTCCCATCAGCTTTGCCAAGCAGACCACCTGTGACATGTGGGTTATGGTAATGGTTGCCTTAGTTGCTTCTCAGTGACCTGAAGTTTGCTTTTACTGAAAGCACTGACTTCACTTAGACTTTCAAAGGTTTGATGGTTGACTGGAACAGAAGAAAAGGCTTGGCATCTCTGTCTTCATGTTGTGTCTGTCCCCTTTGTGTCAGATGCTCCTCAGTACCATATGTGGATGTGTGGATCACTGGAGGAATGTTTTGTCCAAGACTGGGATGCCTGGTAAACCTGGCCTGATGCCTGTTGGAGCTAGCATGTGTTTCTTCTACCCCGCCCTTGTGCGCAGTTCCTTCAGCTGCTGCTTCTTACCTGTCATCAGGCCCAGAACAAACCACAGAGCCAGGATGTTTGTGCAGGACAATGAAACAGCCCCAAGAGGAACTCAGCAGTTCCCAGAGTGAGCTGACCATTCAACAAGTTGATCTGTGCCTTGCACAAGAAGGCAAACATCTTTTAGCATTGTGCCCATGGCCAATGGAAAATTACCAGACTTTAACACCCTTACCCTACAGATTGATAAAAGCCTGCCTATTGCTGTTGAAAGCAGTCCTCTCTTTGTCTCTGTCTGTGTCTCTGTCTCTCTCTCTCTTAGTCTCTCTGTCTCTGTCTCTTTCTCTGCTAGTGTCAGCCAAAGTTCTGATAAAGCTTGGCCTATATGTTCATAACTTGTGGCTCAGTGCCATTCCAATCCTTTCCATGCTGAAAAATCCCATTCCCTGTGACCTGCAGACAGGCTCTTGCTCAGCTTGCTCATGGCTAGCCCTGCCTAGTGTCTTTCCTGTGGGGTTGATTGTTTATGGATCAGTCCAAACTCATAAACTGCAAAAGTAAAAAAGATTTAATTGGGCATCTGAGGAGCAACTGGTTTGCACAGGTGTGAGCTAGTGTGCCTAGGAAGGCAGGAAAGGTGAGAGATCACATGGGCTATTGACTTGGAAAAGAACAGGCTATTCCGTCTCCGTTTGAAAACCTGAGGAAGCTGGCATTGTCATAGAGTTGACCTCACTGCCTCCAGTTACGAAATGAACACCTGGCAGTTTCTTGTGCATTAACTCATATCTCCCTCTAGGTGAGTCAGAGACTATTTCTATGTTGAGTTTTGTTTAAGTCACACTTTATTTATTTATTTAGGCTGGCCTTGAACTTGATCTGTAGCAGAGAATGTCCTTGAAATCCTCCTGATCTTCCTGCCTCCACCTCCCAAGTATTGACAGGTGTGTACCACCACATCTAGTTTATGCAGTGTTAGGGATCAAACCCAAGGCCTCGTGTATATTAGGTAAGCACTGTACCAACTGTGCTATACCTCCAGTTTCTTACTCTTGGGTTTTGGATTTTTTTTTCATTTTTGCTAATAGAATAGAATGGATGAACAGAATAGAAATTTCCATCAAACAGGAGTTCCATTGCTCCTTTTTTTTTAAGGGTGTAAATGCATGTATTTATATAGGTGGGTACAGGTATATGTGTGCCACAGTATGTATGTGGAGGTCAGTCCTTGTCTCTCTACCTTGTTTGAGAGGTTTTCTTCAAGCCAGGTTAGTTGGCCCATGAGCTTCTAGAGATTTCTCCTGTCTCTGCCTCCCATTTCCCTGTAGGGGTGTGCTGTGATAACAAATACTTTTGCTACTGTGTCCAGCTTTTACATGGGTTCTGGTTATATAGTAAGTGCTTTTTATCCACGGCGCCATCTCCCCATCCCTACGCCTGACTTTTTACATGAGTGCTAAGTTTTGAACTCAGGTCCTCGTGTTTGCACAGCAAGTGCTCTTACCCACTGAGTTATCTACCCACCCCCACTTCCCTAACCTCTTTTTTTCAAAGAATTCTTTTAAAACTCAGTTTTAGGGGCTGGAGAGATGGCTCAGAGGTTAAGGACAATGGTTGTTCTTACAGAAAACCCGGGTTCAAATCCCAGGATCCATATGGCAGCTAACGACTTTCTGTAACTCCAGTCCCAGGGATCCGACAGCCTCTTCTGACCTTTGCGGGCATTGCATGACATGGGTGCACTTACCTACGTGCAGGCAATACATGCATACACAAAAAATAAAAATAAAAAATAATTTTTAACTCAGTTTTATTTATTGTTGTTGTTGTTGTTTGTGTTGTATGTGTGCATGGTATATGTGGGCCCTCATGCCACAAGGTATGTGTGGAGGTCAGAGGACAACTTTGTGGAGTCAGTTCTCTCCTTCCACATTTATATGGATTCTGGGGATCAGACTCTGGACATAAGGTTTACATGGCACTACTTTACCTGCTGAGACATCTCACTGGCCCCTCATCTTGAGCCTCTGAGTGCAGTGCAGTTATGCCCTTGTTAGTGGTCAGTCCCAATTCCTTAAGCAGATTTATTTTTTTCCAGAAAAGTCTTTTGAAAGGAGTTACATACTAGTTGCTTGTCTTTTGATGTTTGACTATGAAGTGACCCCCAAAAACTCAAGTTAAAGAAAGGCTTGATGCCCAGCTCAGTGTTCAGAGGAGGGATTTTTAGGAAATGATTGGAGCATGAGGGCTCTGATCTAATCAATGATTGAATCCATTGATTGATAATTTGATAATGTTATTGAGTAGTGGGACTTAGGAGCTAGGGCCCTGTTGGAGGATATAGGTCATTGGCTGTGTGCCCTTGAAGGGTGTGCCCTGTCCCTGGTCCCTTCTCTCACTGGTTCATGGCTGCCTAAGGTGAGCAGCTGTGTTCTGCTATACCCTTCCCCCATGGTGCTCTACTTCACCACAGGCTGATCACAATGAAGCCAACCAGCCATGGACTGAGACCTCTGAATCCCTGAGCTAAAATAAATCTTTCCTGCTTTGAGTTGATCTGCTCAGGCATTTTGTCACAGTGATGAAATATGGCTAACACCCTAGGTCATGAGAACAGTTTTTGAAGATCACTGCAACATAACAATACATCTTTTCATTTGACAGCATGCATTAGTCCATAGGAGAGAACTTTCTTCATTATCTGTTTATCTTTAAAATAATGAGTATGGCCGGGTGTGGTGGTGTGCGCCTTTAATCCCTGTACTTGGGAGGCAGAGGCAGGCAGATGTCTGTGAGTTCAAGGCCAGCCTGGTCTACATAGTGAGTTCCAGGACAGCTGGGGCTACAGGGAGGCCCTTCTCAATAAATAAATAAATAATAAATAAATAAATGAATAAATAAATAAATAAATAAAAAAAAATAAAATGAGTATAAGAATGACAAATCAGGTCTTTTTGTTTTTGTAGTATCACTACAAACTCATGGTTTCATGTTTACTTGATATATTTTTATCACTTGAAATTATTGCCTATTCTAATGCTCAAATTGTCCCATCTTTGGGCAGTGGGAACCTTTTCCATATGGCTCCTGAACAGGGGACCATTCATTTCACAGATGAGGACCCAAGGCTCAGTATTGAGGTCTTGCTAACAAAAGCATCATCTAGTAGGACACAGTGCTGGACTTCAAACCCAGGTGTGTCCAACAGAGACTGTCAGGTCACAAAATTCATATTTCACAAATGAGAATTTTATGCAAAGAATTACCAGCTTGGTCTAAAATTAAGTAGATACTTGAAAGGGTAAAAAGATTTTAAATTTTTAGGAAGTTAACTACAGCAAAAGGTTAAGGGAAAGAAGGGTGGAACCTGGAACTGTTGACATTTAGAGATGTGGAAATGCTGCATGGAGAAGAAATTCTGAGGTCTGAGAAGCTGCTGTTTATGATGCTGGTGAGCATGGAGGGATAGTCCATGAGCCCGGGATACCAGCTGCCTCTCATGGTGTCAGAGTTTACTTCGAAGTGGACAACTGCTAACTGGACGCCAGGAGACTCCACGGTGCCATTAAGGCTACCTGCTAAACAAGGGATGTGCAACTGTCAAGCACAGACAGGGCAGGGATGATGGTCCAGGTACCCCATGCTAGTCAGAACCCCACTGGAGGTGCACAGAAAGTCCACTGAAGTTCACTGGAAGGCCACTGGAAAAGTCCTGGAAACTTGCCTGAAATGGACAGGAAGGTACAATTCTTTTCTTCCCCAGCAGCCTGGAGCCTCCCTTAGTGTCCTCTGCTGGCAGAGTGACTCTGACCAAGTATAGATTTGAGGGGTTTGAGCTGAGTAGCAAAAACTTGGTCATCAGCGTCCTGGCATGAGGCATGGCAGTGTCCTTGGCAATACTGGAGACTGGATTAGAGTGTTGCTCTTGTCCCTGGAAGAGAAGTGGAAGGGTTGAAGCAGCCATAGCAATAGAAGGAAACAACTACCTGGAAAACTTTGAGTATTTCTGAGCTGACATTTCCTGGTCTGGAGGGTAAGCCCTGGCTGCATTTGTTCCTATATTCACCAGTAGGACTCCCCTGGGCTCCTGGTTCTTAAATAGGGTTGACTGATGGAGGACCAGGAGCCTAGTAGGAGTTGAGTCAGGCACTCTCAGCTCATCTCTGTGGAGGCTGCACATTGCTTGGTATGAGATCAGGAGAGGGTTGGAATCCTTTGGTAGTAGTGAGCAGAGCTCTGGGTCTCCCAGACAAGGTGAGTGAAGCAACGAGGTCTTCTACCGTCCTGCAGGATGGGTAAAGCTTCACCATGCTACCTTCATGGGTGGACTTTCTGACTCCTCTGAGCTCTGGCTCCTGATGGGCCTTGATGACTCCTGGCCTCCACTACATCACATTTCTGGAGCTGCCGGGTGGGGGCCGGAGCTTGAGTGAGTGGATCCTGCCAGACAATCAGGCTTCAGTTTGATTTCCTTTAGATACTGAAATTCCAGCCCATCCCTAGAGCTGTTCAAGGACTCTGACCCCACCGCAGTGTGTATGGAAGAGGAGCCATGAAGACCTGGACAAGATGCATCCTGCTTCTCCTGCTACAGCTGGTACCAGGTAAGGGACATTCCTCTGTCCCCACCTCCTTTCCTGCTGACCGCCCCTGAGCTCTCACTCCATCATCCCATTTCCTTCCTGGACAAGTAGGAGAGGGCTGGGAGCAGGAGGTCAAGACTTGGATGCCCACTGGCCCTCTGATGGAGGCAGGAGAAGGCAGAATCAAAGAGGAGAGTGGTTGTTTGCTCCAAAGTAGGGTGATGTCACTGAGCCAGGTCATCAGGATGATGACTTTGAATGTTGTCCCCAGGCCCTTCTCTTCTGTGTTTCTCTCTCTCTCTCTCTCTCTCTCTCTCTCTCTCTCTCTCCTCTCTCCCTCTCTCTTTCTCTCTCTCTGTCTTTTTGAGATGGTCTCCCCATAGTTCCAGCTGGCCTGAAACTTGCTATGTAGATCAGGCTGGCCTCATTTTTACAGAGATCCTCCCGCCTCTGCCTCTTGAGTGCTGGAATCAAAGCCTTGGGCCACCACAACTGTCCTTCTTTTCCTTTTTCAATCCTATGAGAATTTCATATGCTATACAGTACATTTTTTTGAGACAGTCTCAAAAAAGGGCCACCTGTGGTCCCAGCTGGCCTGGAATTCACTATATAGACCAGGATGACCTCAATCTCTCAGAGTTCCTCTTGCTTCTGCCTCCTGAGTGCTACAAGTAGATATGTGTGCCACCACACCAGGTGTATACAATATATTTTGATTATACCCACCACCCACTCCCCTCTTGACTACTTGGGGACCAGCATGTCCCCCTTCAACTTCATCATCATCACCATCTCCTCCTCCTCTTCTTTCTCCCCCTCCTCCTCTTCTTCTTTGCACCTACTGAGTCCATTTAGTGCTGCCCCATATGCACAAGGATGTGGATCATCTATTGGAGCCAGTGGCCACACCCCCCAAAGAAAAATTCCCCTTCCCCCAGTAGCCATCATCTACAAATAGCTTCTCAGCTAGGGGTGGGGCCTTTCGAGTTTCTCCCCATCCATGCTGGAGCCAGTGGCTGAGCACTCAGTCACTTATTCTCAACACTTTGATCAGTTATGATTGTCTGCACTAACCAGGATCCACTGTAAAACCTCTTATTTTCTAGGGGCATATGGGGATGTATTGCCTTCAGGTCAGGGCCATCTCTGGCTGCCCCAGTCCAGGTCAGGGGATGGAAGGAGGTGTTGGAGACGGAGAGACAGGACCCAAGTTGGAGTAGCTTTCTGAGAAGGCCCCTTTGCAGTGTGTTGCCACTCCAGAGATACTGGGAAGATTGTGGGTGGCCAAAATGCCCTGGAAGGACAGTGGCCTTGGCAGGTCAGCCTGTGGACCACCTCAGAGGGCCATATATGTGGAGGCTCCCTCATCCATTCGGGCTGGGTGCTCACAGCTGCTCACTGCTTCCTTGGGTGGGTGGAGTTGGGGTGGAGAGTGGCTGCATCCTCCTTGTCTTGTCCCTCTTTGGCAGCTGCTTCAGCTGGGTCTGTCTCCTTCTACGTCTCTGAATCTCAGATTCTACCATGTGAAGGTTGGAGGACTGACACTCTCCCTTCTGGAACCCCACTCCACCTTTGTGGCTGTGAGGAGCATTCTTGTCTACCCTGGCTACATCTGGGAGGAGAGGTCCAGTGGAGACATTGCCTGGGTGCAGCTGGACAGCCCCCTGAAACCCTCCCAATTCACCCCTGTCTGCCTCCCAGAAGCCCAAGTCTTCCTAACCCCAAGGACTCTCTGCTGGGGGTCCACCCAGGAGAGACGTAAGGGAATGTGTCCTTACCTAATCCCCACTCCTGCTTAGGGAAGGACCTGCCTAGGGGATGTACTGACTAATTTGTGGGACTCCCCTTGGCCAAGGTGACCACTCACGGTGGATTTGGGGATGTTCAGGATTCTGCCCATTGCTGAGATGGGTAAGCTGAGGCTCAGCAGTTGTGAGATTACAGAGGGTAGTATGGTTCACAGGTGATAGAATGGACTTAACCCCTGCTCCCTGACTCTCTGTCTCCTAACTTTGAGGCATGGGAGGGAAGGGGGGACAGAGGAGGAATGGTTCAGGCTACTGTCTGCATGGTGGGAGGGAGTTCTTCTGAATGGGGACAAGGTTCAAGGTAGACTCACGCCAGGCTTCTGTCTGCTCCAGTCCTAGTGAGCATCCTCTAGGAGGTGGCTGTGCCTCTCCTGGACTCAGAGGAATGTGAACTGATGTACCATCTTGGGGAGCCCAGCCTGACTGGGCAGCAGCTCATCCAGTCAGACATGCTTTGTGCCGGCTTTGTAGAGGGCCAGAAAGACTCCTGCCAGGTGATAGCAGCCTTCATCTCCCCCTCCTGACTCAGCGCACTCTAGGCTCACTCTGCCATGTACTCCATCCCTATATCCTATATCCCAGGGGCTCCAGAGGGACCAGAGCCTTTGCCCAGCCTCTGTGGCCTCAGCAGAGGGTATTCCTGGAAGTCCTTCTTAACTGAGCATTTATCTCTCTACCTCAGGGTAACTCTGGGGGGCCGCTGGTCTGTGCCATCAACAGTTCCTGGGTCCAGGTTGGGGTCACCAGCTGGGGGTTTGGCTGTGCTTGGCCATTCTGGCCTGGTGTCTACACACGAGTGCCGACCTACATGAACTGGATTCAGAGAACGTTGGCTGGGTACCACTCTGATGACTCTGGGTCATATTCCAGAGTCCCTGAGTCACATGAAATACTGCTGCTTGTGCTGCTGATATTAGTCCTACCAGGGATCTTGTGAGTCATGAGTCCTAGATCCCAGAATCCTCTTCTGGTGGGATTTATGACCTAGGGGCTTAAAGTTGATACTGAGAAAAATGAATCTTAAATGATGTTTGAAGGTAACAGCCTGGGAGGTACTGGAGGATGCAGTGACTTGAAGAATTCAAGGACACAGCGATCTGAAACTATGGTCCTTCCCCCTTGGGCTCCTCACCTAGCATGAGGAAGCATCCTGTCAAACAGAGGCAAACACTCACATGTCACAGGTCCTGTTCAGCTCTTTTCTTTTTTTTTTTTTTTGGTCTTTTTGAGACAGGGTCTCCCTGTAGCCCTAGATGGCCTGGAACTCACTGTGTAGACCAGGCTGGCCTTGAACTCACAGAGATCCCTCTGCCTCTGCCTCCCGAGAAGGAGTGCTGGGACAAAAGGTGTGCGCCACCACGCCCGGCCTCAGCTCTTTTCTTGTCAACTCTTTTAGTCCCATTTCAATGCTGCAATGTAGAGCCCAGTGTACAGGGGAAATAGTGAGGCACAGAGAGTTCCTAAGGCCACATTCTACTCAGCTGGAGTAGAATCCCTGCCAAGGCAGGTTGCAGCTCAGAACCTGTGCTCTTGGCTATCAGGGACTCTTACTACATACCCCAGGCTGGCTTCAAACTTTCTGCTACCCTCAGTTCCTAAATGCTCTGATTACAGGCCTATGACTACCACACCCAGCTTTTGTTCTATAGTTGTAAGGCAAAAAAATTCCCTTGGCAGAGTAAATTTTTTTGAGGTTCTCCCCTAGAACTCACTATGTAGACCAGGCTTACCTTGAACTCAAAGAGATATGCCTGCCTCTGCCTCCTGAGTGTTGGTATAAAAGGCATGTACCACCACGCCTGGCCAGCAGAGTAATTTTATATTTGTTGAGTCTGATCATGAAAAATGTATGTGTTTTTCAGGTGTCAATTCCTTTATCTTACAGTTTTCTAACCATTTTCATTGTATTTTATAAGAGCATCTGGCCATGTATAATGTGCATTATATTGGTAATTGTCCTGTGCTGTTTGAACTCATTGAGAAGCTAGCTCTGAAAGTAGAGGTTACTCCACCCTGATTCAGACCCAAGCATGTTTGCCTTAAGGTGTTCTTTAAGGTTCTCTGTCTGGAATGGGCTGGCCCACCACAGCTCTATGCCAGGAAGGGAAGAGAACAGCAAAACAGTCCAAGAATAAAAGCATTGTAAGCTGGATGTTGTGGCACTGGCCTTTATTCTCTGTAAGATAGAGAATAAAGTTTACATAGCAAGTTCCAGGCCATCTGGGGCTACAGGGAGACCCTGCTTCAACACCGCCGCCCCCCCCGACCCTGCCAAAAAAACCCTGAATCCTTGAGAACAGCTAGAAGGTAAACCATTTCCAACAGAGGTTACTACTGTTTATCCCATGTTATAAAAATGCCTACAGTGGGAAAGAAAAACCAGCAATTCAGCCCTGGGAAGCTCGTCCACGGAGAGAAAGCTCAATCAGGAAATCCAGCTGACAGCTTTCACTTCCCTGTTGGTTCCTACTAGATCTTGTGACCATCTGATTTGATGATGTTATCTCTATCTATTGCTATTTGTGCTTTTACTTGGAAACTCACTGGAGGAGACCCTCTGCTCTGCCTAGTACTCTATGGGAGCTCCAGCTGACCGCCTCGACATAGCTTCCCTAGTCAATTTCTGATGAATGTTTTGAGCACCAGATTTGATGACGTTCTGCTTCCCGTCTATCAGCTACGTACCCATCTCTTGCTATTCATTTCTTTTACTTTGGTTTGCTATGTACTTAATAAACTCACCCATTCAGAATGAAAAGTATGGCTATTGTAGATCATTCTTGGAATAGTACAGAACACCATAGTATATTTAAAAATAGTCCTTTATCTCAGAAGGATTTCAAAGTCCAGGCCTGGGCAGTTTGCCTCCACTTCTATATCTTCACAGTTAGAATCACCCTTGTCCTGACAACTCTTGTCCTGTGTGGTTATTAGCAGACTCCCATTCTCCCATTCTCTTTCAAGAATGTCCCAAAAGTTGGACTTTTAGTTATATGTAGTCACCATGACTCAGCCAACTCAAGAGCAGGGAACCCTTTGAAATTTGCAGAACTTTCAGTCTCAACCTCAGGATATAGTTGCCATGACCATCAACTGGCCAATGAGAGTCTTCGTTCTGCCTGTTCTGGCCAGTGCTACCACACATGGGTGCTGTCCACAGTAGCCGTGGGTCCCTTCGCCAACTTGGTGGTGAGAACCCTCTGGCTGGGTTTTAGCAGATGGACAAAAGGGCACTTGACAGAGCTAGGTCATCATTTGCAGGGAGGGAGGCATTTTCAAACTTGCACCGTTGCCTCAAAGTTTGAGAAACTCCCACTGTCTGTGTTAGAAGGGGTGGCTGGGGGTAAAGGGGATGGCTATTCCCTTTAAGGGGACCATGTGAGCCCCTCAGGGATAAGTCTGTTTCCTGAACACCCTGGGAAGGTTGTCTAGAACGCTACATGGGGGTGGGGGCTCTAAGTCTGGGGTCAAAACCAAGGGGGGAGGCCGAGGAAGTGACTTAGTCGGTCAAGTGCTTACCACAAAAGCATGAGGACCTAAGTTTGATCCTCTACACCCATGTGAAAAAGCCAGGCACAGCAGTGTACACCAGTAATCTGAGCACTAGGAAGGCGGTAAGGGTTCCTGGGACTTGCTGGCTAGCCAGGCTAGCCTAATAGGTAAGCTCCAGGCCAAAGAGACACTGTTTCGAAAAAGGAAGTGGATGGCACCTGGAATAGCAACATCTAAGTTTGACCTCTGGCCTTCACACACATGTGCACATGTGTATACATACACAGGACACATACAGCTGAGGTGGGCTTGATTGGAGCTGACCTCCCAGGGCAGAGGGAGGAGATGTGGGGGCAAGGGACCTATCAGTCCTGGACCATCTGCCCTTCCAGAGGGCAGGCACTGTGGACAGCTTCTTAGTTGTAAAGAAATTTCTACCGCCCTGAATAGGGGTGCTGTCAAATCTTTTAGTTCCCCATGGATTGCCCTCACAGGGCTCTCCTCTGTCTATTCCCGTTTCCCTATGCTCTGTTGTATCTTGTTTGTCCTTTTAGCACTCAGAACTCAAGTCCCCAGTAGAAGATTCTGGCCTTTCAGATTCGTCTCATCATTTTCCCTTGCTAATACCTTTCAAGTGTTTTGCTAATAAATTCTCTGTCTCCTTACTCCTAACAATAAGTGCCTTCTAGAAGTTTAGAGAGAAGGTAGTAGATTACAACAGAACTAAAATGCCTCAGTTCTGCATTTCTAAATTTTGTTTATTTTTTCGTTTTTTTTTTAGACAGAGTCTCCCTGTATCCCCAAGTGACCTGGAACACACTATGCAGACCAGACTGGACTTGAAATCACAGAGATCCACCTGCCTCTGCCTCTGGGATTAAAGGTGTGCTCCAGCATGCCTGGTTTATTAGTACTGAAGCCCATGGAGGCCAATGGTATCAGATCCCCTGGAGCTGGAATTATAGGTGGTTGACCTGATGCAGGTTCTGGGATGAAGCTTGGGTCGTCTGGAGGAGCAATATGTACTCTTAACCGCTAAAACATCTCTCTAGCCACAGTTTGTTTGTGGGGTTTTGTTGTTTTTTTTGGTGGGGGGAGTCAGGGTCTCCCTGTAGCCCCAGCTGGTCTGAAACTTGATATGTAGACCAGGCTGGCCTAGATCTCACAGAGGTCTGCCTGCCTCTGTCTCCTGAGTGTTGGGATTAAAGGCATGCACCACCATGGCCAGCTTCTCAATTTTTTTAAGGATTCGTTTTTGAAACAGGATCTCATATAGCCCATGCTAGCCTCAACTTATGTAGTTGATGATGACCTTGAACTCTGGATCCTCCTGCCTTCAGCTCTGGAGTGTTGGAATTACAGGGGTGTACAACTAAGCCTGGTTTCAAATTTTCATTTCAAGAGCCCTCCTTAGATAGTAGCTCTGGTCTTTTCTTCAAATGACCCACCCACCAGGGACACACAACCCTGCTCCAAGGTCACCTCTCATCCAAGCTGTGTGTGTGCTTTTTCTGTGCATCTTTTTGTGTGCCTCCATGGGTATGAATTGGACAGACCCATATTCATTTCCCAGTAGTATACTTAACCCTACCCTCCCAGGGCCTCCCCTCATCCCCACCTTCTTCCCCTCCCCTTCTGCCAACAGGTTACAGGAAGGAGCGTGAAGCAATCCAGAAAACCCCAGGATTTTCTTACCCTGATAATGACTGCGTGCAAACATGGCCCCCTTTTTCTTCTTCTGATCATTGGCTTTCTTCCCCTTATAAAGCCTTCTCACTTGGCTCCCAGTTTACTACAGCAGGCAAGGAGGGCTTTCCTAGTGCTGAGGTGGGAATGGGGGTCAAGTGTGACTTGGAGACCAGGGGGTATCTGACACCACTAAGGGGTTTGTGGCACCACACCCAGCAGTTCTGGCACCTAGGTATTGTACCTATCCTTTCTTCACAAGGGCCTCTCTCAGGCACCCCTGCTGTCTTCACTGTCCATATACCCAGGCTGGCCACCCTCAGACCCAGGTTGGTCTAGTGACAGGTTCATTCTAGGACAGATTGCAGCACATCTGCCCAATTCCTTATTGTGCAAGAGGAGGCAGTTCATGGCCAATATAGACAATACACAGATGCACCTCCAGGGTTGAGCCAGAACAAGGATAAGGAAATGGTTACAATTTACTCAAATGTTCTGGAAGACCCACAGGACTGACTTCTGTCCAAAGGTCGGGGTCACCCAGGCCTTTGGTGTTTGGTCAAAGTGAGGAGCTGAGCCAGGGCCTCGGGCTGGCTTGGCCTCATCTCAGAACTAGGAGTGAACTGGCTAGAAATGATTCCCAGGGACATGTGAGCTGTGCCAATGGCACCATGTGTAGCTGGGCCCTGGTTTCCAAAGCAAGAAACTCCATGCTGTAGGTGCTGAGGTTATTGGGCACTGGGAGTATAGGAGGCTCTG